GCAGACACTGTACTTCCCACCTCCAGGAGTGCAGACACTGTACTTCCCACCTCCAGGAGTGCAGGCACTGTACTTCCCACCTCCCGGGGGTGCAGGCACTGTACTTCCCACCCCCAGGAGTGGGAGACACTGTACTTCCCACCTCCAGGAGTGCAGGCACGTACTTCCCACCTCCGGAGTGCAGACACTGTACTTCCCACCTCCAGGAGTGCAGGCACTGTATTCCCACCTCCAGGAGTGCAGACACTGTACTTCCCACCTCCCGGAGTGCAAAACACTACTTCCCACCTCCAGGAGTGCAGGCACTGTACTTCCCCCCTCAGGAGTGCAGGCACTGTACTTCCCACCTCCAGGAGTGCAGACACTGTACTTCCCACCTCCAGGAGTGCAGACACTGTACTTCCCACCTCCAGGAGTGCAGGCACTGTACTTCCCACCTCCAGGATGCAGACACTGTACTTCCCACCTCCAGGAGTGCAGACACTGTACTTCCCACCTCCAGGAGTGCAGACACTGTACTTCCCACCTCCAGGAGTGCAGACACTGTACTTCCCACCTCCAGGAGTGCAGACACTGTACTTCCCACCTCCAGGAGTGCAGACACGTACTTCCCACCTCAGGAGTGCAGGCACTGTACTTCCCACCTCCAGGGGTGCAGACACTGTAAATTCCCACCTCCAGGAGTGCAGGCACTGTACTTCCCAAACCCCCAGGAGTGCAGGCACTGTACTTCCCACCTCCCGGAGTTTCAGACACTGTACTTCCCACCTCCAGGAGTGCGGCACTGTACTTCCCACCTCCAGGAGTGCAGACACTGTAAATTCCCACCTCCAGGAGTGCAGGCACTGTACTTCCCACCTCCAGGAGTGCAGACACTGTACTTCCCACCTCCAGGAGTGCAGGCACTGTACTTCCCACCTCCAGGAGTGCAGGCACTGTATTTCCCACCTCCAGGAGTGCAGGACTGTACTTCCCACCCCCGGAGTGCAGACACTGTACTTCCACCCCCAGGAGTGCAGACACTTTTACTTCCTACCCCCAGGAGTGCAGGCACTGTACTTCCCACCTCCAGGAGTGCGGCACTGTACTTCCCCCCTCCAGGAGTGCAGGCACTGTACTTCCCACCTCCAGGAGTGCAGACACTGTAACTTCCCACCTCCAGAGTGCAGGCACTGTACTTCCCACCTCAGGAGTGCAGGCACTGTACTTCCCACCTCCAGGAGTGCAGACACTGTACTTCCCACCTCCAGGAGTGCAGGCACTGTATTCCCACCCTCCAGGAGTGCAGACACTGTACTTCCCACCTCCAGGGGTGAAACACTGTACTTCCCACCTCCAGGAGTGCAGGCACTGTACTTCCCACCTCCAGGAGTGCAGACACTGACTTCCCACCTCCAGGAGTGCAGGCACTGTACTTTCCCCCATCCAGGAGTGCAGACACTGTACTTCCCACCTCCAGGGGTGCAGACCTGTACTTTCCCACCTCCAGGAGTGCAGACACTGTACTTCCCACCTCCAGGAGGCAGGGGACTGTACTTCCCACCTCCAGGAGTGCAGACACTGTCTTCCCACCTCCAGGGGTGCAGACACTGTACTTCCCCTCCAGGAGTGCGGCACTGTACTTCCCACCTCCAGGAGTGCCCGACACTGTACTGCCCCCCTCCAGAGTGCAGACACTGTACTTCCCACCTCCAGGATGCAGACACTGTACTTCCCACCCCAGGGTGCAGACACTGTACTTCCCACCTCCAGGAGTGCAGGCATGTACTTCCCACCTCCAGGAGTGCAGACGCTGTACTCCCACCCCCAGGAGTGCAGACACTGTACTTCCCACCTCCAGGAGTGCAGGCACTGTACTTCCCAACCTCCAGGAGTGCAGACACTGTACTTCCCACCTCCAGGAGTGCAGACCCCTGTACTTCCCACCTCAGGAGTGCAGACACTGTACTTCCCACCCCCAGGAGTGCAGGCACTGTATTCCCACCCCCCAGGAGTGCAGGCACTGTACTTTCCCCCCTCCAGAGTGCAGACACTGTACTTCCCACCTCCAGGAGTGCAGGCACTGTACTTCCCACCTCCAGGAGTGCAGGCACTGTACTTCCCACCTCCAGGAGTGCAGACACTGTACTTCCCACCTCCAGGAGTGCAGGCACTGTACTTCCCATCTCCAGGAGTGCAGGCACTGTACTTCCCACCTCCAGGAGTGCAGGCACTGTACTTCCCACCTCCAGGAGTGCAGACACTGTACTTCCCACCTCCAGGAGTGCAGACACTGTACTTCCCACCTCCAGGAGTGCAGGCACTGTACTTCCCACCTCCAGGAGTGCAGACACTGTACTTCCCACCTCCAGGAGTGCAGACACTGTACTTCCCCATCCAGGAGTGCAGGCACGTACTTCCCACCTCCAGGAGTGCAGCACTGTACTTCCCACCTCCAGGAGTGCAGACACGTATTCCCACCTCCAGGAGTGCAGGGACTGTACTTCCCCCCTCCAGGAGTGCAGACACTGTACTTCCCACCTCCAGGAGTGCAGACACTGTACTTCCACTCCAGGAGTGCAGACACTGTACTTCCCACCTCCAGGAGTGCAGACACTGAAATTCCCACCTCCAGGAGTGCAGGCACTGTATTCCCACCTCCAGGATTGCAGACACTGTACTTCCCACCTCCCGGAGTGCAGGCACGTACTTCCCACCTCCAAAGGGGTGCAGGCATGTACTTCCCACCTCCAGGAGTGCAGACACTGTACTTCCCACCTCAGGAGTGCAGGCACTGTATTTCCCACCTCCCGGAGTGCGGGCACTGTACTTCCCACCTCCAGGAGTGCAGACACTGTACTTCCCCCCTCCAGGAGTGCAGCACTGTTTTTCCCACCTCCAGGAGTGCAGACACTGTACTTCCCACCTCCAGGAGTGCAGGCACTGTACTTCCCACCTCCAGGAGTGCAGACACTGTACTTCCCACCTCCAGGAGTGCAGACACTGTACTTCCCACCTCCCGGAGTGCAGGCACTGTACTTCCCACCTCCAGGAGTGCAGGCACTGTACTTCCCACCTCCAGGGGTGCAGGGACTGTACTTCCCCACTCCAGGAGTGCAGGCACTGTACTTCCCACCTCCAGGAGTGCAGGCACTGTACTTCCCACCTCCAGGAGTGCAGACACTGTACTTCCCACCTCCAGGAGTGCAGGCCTGTACTTCCCACCCTTTAGGAGTGCAGGCACTGTACTTCCCACCTCCAGGAGTGCAGACACTGTACTTCCCACCTCCAGGAGTGCAGGCACTGTACTTCCCACCTCCAGGAGTGCAGGCACTGTACTTCCCACCTCCAGGAGTGCAGGCACTGTACTTCCCACCTCCAGGAGTGCAGGCACTGTACTTCCCACCTCCAGGAGTGCAGACACTGTACTTCCCACCTCCAGGAGTGCAGACACTGTACTTCCCACCTCCAGGAGTGAAGACACTGTACTTCCCACCTCCAGGACTCAAGTCTGGATAACCGGTTTCCCTCAGTCCCTTCACAAAACGCTACATTGCTCACACTCCAACATTTCATCAGGTCCCAAAAACCATTTGCTTCTACTCACTCCTATCTAACATGCTGACACATGCCTGCTAGATATCCAACCCCTTTGTGCTTGTATTTATTTAAATTTTAGTAATGGCTTTTTGCTCTCTTAGGCAGTTTGATGCTTTCCATTTTAGCTCAGTGTTTTCCTTTTTTCTTAACCAAGTTTGTAGTTCTTAAGAAAGTCTGGAAATTAAAAAAATGTTACATGATTTTTGTCTGCCTGCAAATAAACTGATAAAATTATTTAAAAAAATTATGTGATATTCATCAATAGGTAAGAACAAACAACCAAAAAGGTATACAGAATGGAATGATAGACAAGGCCAAAGATGCAAGCAGTTGAAAAAGATAACTGACAGTGTTTGGGATATGTAAGAGAGGATGATGAATCATAGAAGTAGAAGGTAAAAGAAAATTTACAAGAAGGAATTGCAAGGTTTTAGTATGGCTATGAACCTTTCAGGAGATCAAGACACAATACTGTGACTGGAACAATACACAAGTAACCCGCACAGAGGAGAGAGGAGCTTACAACAATGTTTTGGTCCAACCTGGACTATTTACAGTCACAGTGTGACTTGCAAATGGTCCAAGTTGGTCCAATACATTGTCATAAGCTTTTCTCCTATGGCCGAGTTATTTGTGTACTCCCAGGAGGAGAAACTAGAGTACACAGAGGAAACCCCCTCATGACAGAAATAAGAAAACCCCCTCATGAGAGAAATAAGAAAACCCCTCATGAGAGAAATAAGAAAACCCCCTCATGATAGAAATTAAGAAACCCCCTCATGATAGAAATGAGGAAGATAAGAGGATACCAAGGTGTGTTTGGAAGTTTTGAGCCTCCAGGAGTGTTCCCAGGGTCACAAGGAATATAAGGTATCAGCACAAAGGTCACAACATAACAGACAAAACCTTCACAATATTGTTTTATTTATGTGGCCAGACAGATGACCAACAGACAACTGACCAATGGACATTTGACCGAAGGACAATTGGTTAAAAGGACACTTTACCACATATGTGACTGAATGGAAAATTAGGTTAGGAAAGTTTGCTATTTTATGGCCTTTTTAATTTTTTATTTTTATGTCTTCTTTTTAATGTATGAGAAATGTTATGATGAATGTTGGTTCTGCCATATGTCTGTTTGGTGAAATGTCCATTCAGTCAAATGTCCTTCAGTGAAATGTCCACTGGCGAAGTGTCCATCAGCCAAATGTCTAGGAGCCTTTATGAGGAAGAGCTACACTCTTAGGGGTTATTCACTGCCTGAGAAATGGGAGGTAATCAGGTTTGATGTGCAAAGAAGGGGGAAAGGGGGGGAGCAGCTCCAACTGCTTGGATCAAAAGCCATTTACCAGGAACAATATCCACAATGTCTGCACAAATGCACCTCAAACATACACAACTCTGGCAGGTTCTCTCACCAGTGCGACAGGCAACCAACAAAGCATGCTGGGCTTTCTTGGAATTTGGGTCAAACGTATGCCGTGCTACATATTCTTTGACGGTATTTACATCACCCTGGAGAGCTGCTCTGGTAAAGGGTGGCCAGAGTCAGGGTCATCTGGCCAGAGTGTTGTCAGACTGTCAGGGTCATCCACTGCCAGGTCTTCAGGCACTGTGCCTGGTTCTTGAGGCTGCTTTAACCACCTTGTTATTGAGGCGCTGGCATGGTTGCTATCTGAAAATTAAATAACAGTTACATTGCAGTCAACTTTTGAAAACTTTGTACCAGTGTGATGAAAATGGTTTTGAAAACTGACAAGTTGAGGAATGAGATACTTGTGCAACATCTGGGAATCTCTACTGAGGAAACATTTTGCCAGCAAGTGGTGGCTTCTTCAGTCCAATACTGAGATAACAGTGGAAAATGAGGAGGGGTATGAGGAAATCAGTCCCTCAGCCTAGAGTTGATGTGTTCAGTCCATCAATCTCAAGATTGATTACCTCGAACTGCTCCTCATATTCTACTGCTACTCTCAATACAGATTCCCAAATGTTGCATAATTATCTCATTCTTCAACTTTTTACCAGTACTGTAAATACCCAAATATCAGCTTCCAACACATTATTAATGAAGAGTACATTCATTAGAGAGATATAAACATCAAGATGCAAATGTGCAACACATGTAACAGTCTTTTTTTTTATCAAAAGAAATTTTTGTCATATATGTGGCTTTATCGAGTCAATAATTACACTTAGAGGGAGGGTGGAGCACTAAAACCACAGGGGTTACACATCACCTGGGGGTATGGCAGGCAATCAGGTTCACATCACAGAAGGGAAGGGAAGGCTCAATTCCTTGAATCAAGAGTGTCTTGGTGGCATCAAGGAACCTCACTTGAGGGATTATTAACGAAGAATAAAAAGGCACATTACTGTGAGTGGAACAATACACAAATAACCACACTAACTAGTTAATGGTCCAAGTCAACCCGAAACTCTATCATTAGTTTCTTACTCCTATGTGCAGGTTATTTGTGTAAGGGGATTATCAAGTCAATACAGTAGGGCCCCACTTATACAGCAGGTTAGGTTCCAGGCTACTGCCACAAAGCAGACATCGCTGGAAAGCAGAACGCCATTTTTCCACTTATAAATGCATATAAATGCCAGATAACAAGTTTACACTAACATATATTAAGTTAGCAATAGAAACAGGCATTAAAAACAATAAAAAGTAAAATACACACACAGTACATTCATTATTTACCTCAAAATATTTGTAGTCTTAATGCAGGACAAAAGGTTAGTATTTACTGTAAGAAGCCTGGTGTGGTAGGTATGGTAGCCCTCCTGGCCACCCCACCCACACATAATATACTACAATGCTTAAAGTGCCCTACAGTGATAAAATACATATACAGTACATTCATTACTTACCTTAAAATATTTGTAGTCTTAATGGTCTTAATGTAGAATGAGAGGTGAAAAGCATTTATTTGTAGAAAGTCATGTGGGAGGTATAGTAGCCTGCCTGGCCACCCCACCTACTACAACATTTGAAGCGCCCTAGAATGATCAAATGCATATACAGTTCACTCATTACTTACCTTAAAACATTTGTAGTCTTAATGTAGGGTGAGAGGCGAGTGAGATAAAAAATAATAAACAAGAGAGAGAGAGAATGAGTAAGATGACAGAACCACAGAGTATTTGTGTAAACAAACCGTCTGGTTATGGTTGATACACGTTCATACAAACATCTTACATTGTGTACAAGTTGTCTCAACAGTGGTACAGCAGAATAAAGAAAGACCAACACTTCCATTCTCATGTAATTTTTAGAAGGAATGATGCTCTGACAAATTATTATTATAATCATAATAAAAAAGAAGCACTAAACCCACAAGGGTCATGAATAGCTATAGATAGAGTGAAGGCATACAAAAGGAATACTTTTCTACAGTTAAGTAACTGGTGTTTGACTAGAGAAAATGTAATTCTTCCAACACTCATACAAACCACTTGGTAAACACATGTGTGTATGTAACATGTTCATATGTTATGCAGCATACAATATGTTATGCAGTATACAATATGTTATGCAGCATACAATATGTTATGCAGCATACAATATGTTATGCAGCATACAATATGTTATGCAGCATACAATATGTTATGCAGCATACAATACAATATAATACAATTTTTATTTCCTTGCAAGTTTACACTGAGATTCTGTAGTTACAATAATGAGTTGCAGTGCAAAGATCCACTATCATGCCATGGCATTATGGGCAGACTAAATTAATGGCTTACAGACTACTTAATACCAGAGAAATTAATTATACTAGTTTCTTTAAGTTGTACATTTGTTTTTATTTAAAGCAGATAGTAAGTTTACTCAAGTTACAATCTGGGGATATTACATTGGGGCAATTTGAAAGTAGTATATCAATAGTAAATATTTAAGTTATATTATTGGAATATAATACTGAGCATCAGTGAAAGTAGTTTACAGTATGAGAATGTTACAATATGGTGTAAGGCATGTTTATTATATAATTTTGAAAAAATATCATGGATGGATTAATGGAAATGTCTATATTAACATAATATATGACATTTAATGCACCCAAGAGATTATATGGCATCAAGAGTAGAGAGAGACTTAGTGATTTTAATGTGTACCTGCATGCCAGCAAGTGTGTAAGTGTACTATTTAGGTACAGGTACACACAAGTATAATTATCAGAGTACACATAAAATATGCAATAACTTTAAAACACATGAAATTTTGGAAAATTTTCAGACATAATAGAGATGTGCTCATGGAGAATGTAAACAAACCGAGTGGGGTGCGCCGTATCTGAAAGACCGCTCGCCATATAGCAAGTTTTGGTCATAATCTGAAATCGCCATATTAGTGGAATGCCGTAAAGCAGGGCCCTACTGTATAGACATGATAAAGCATAAGTGGTGCAATAAAAGCATCTCTCTGCTACATGTGTTTCACATAGTAAGCTGCTTCTTATTCACTATGGACATTAACTTGTGTTGATCTTTTGCAACTTGCATGAAAAATGTTACAAGTGACCTAATGAACTGGTTCTTTCACTTTTAAGTCTACTTTTGAATTTCTTCATTCACATTAAGTATGCATCTTTCTTTAGTCTATAAGCAATCCATCCCAATTTATAATTAGATTCTTTTGGTCTCCACTGTAACGTACGGTCAACCCCCAGGTAACCCATCCCCATAAAGCTTTCTGCTGTGCCCTAGTTACTAGAAGATACACCATGTTGCAGAAAAAGTACAGGAAATTTAAGAAAATGAACTGTAATCAAAATACTTAACAGCATTTTTTTTCTGAGATTACTCAGCATATTAGCTGATCTTAAGAAAAAGTCAAACTATTCAATCAATGCCATTTTTAAGCCAGATTATCAAGCACAATAATTAATCTTAATGAAGGCTAAGACATAAGTGGCAGATGTTTTCAATGGGAGAACATTTAACACTGTGTAGAGCTTTAACAACTCATAAAGCTCTACACAGATCAAAATATTGTCTCAAAAGTTTCTTCAACCACTCATATCTGTCATCATACTTGTTGACAATATGACATTTCATCCAACTGACCTTAAATAATAAATGTATTGAGCTTACTGTAGTTTTGCTCTTCATTAAACAAACACTCCTAACATTTTGTTCCTATAACAAACAATAAGGACTAACACTACTAACAGTCAATAACAAAAACTGCTGCAGGGACATCTATAACTAATTTCAAGCCAATGGAGAAAGAGAAATTCTCTGAAAACAGCCAAAAAAAAACTACAATACAGAATTGAAATACAAAAAACATGAACCGTCTAAGGCAGTTTTTTCTGGCCACGAGCATATTTTACCTTAAATTATATGAGGCAATGCATGACGGAAAAGAACAGGTGCCATGATCGCCAAAATCCAGGTTAGTGAATCGCTTCCTTAACGTGTCATGTTTGCGGGTACATGTAGATATTGTCATTGGAATTTGTAAGTTAAGCTCAGAGTCACATAACAAAGTACAGTGGTCCCTCGCTTTTCGTAGTTCTCGGCAATCGTAAATTTCACCAGTGATAGGGGTATTTTCATATAAACATGGACTCGCTTTTCATAGGTTGACTCGTGAATAGTAGTTCGTCCGGGACGCGTACGCACGGTGTGAGCCAAGGCGGCCTCCCTACCCAGCCAGTCTGGCATTGTTTACCAGTGAGTGAAGGTCCCCTCAAGTGCTCCTATGAAATATTTCATAATATTCCACTCATTTTAGTGCTTGCAAGCACAAAATAAGCTACCATGGCTCCAAAGAAAGCTCCCAGTGCCAAGCCTGTGGTAAAGAAGGTGAGAAATATGTACAGTGACAAAGTCTTGGGCCATTTTAGGGAAGTGTTAAAGAGACGCCAGAAACAGAGCTCTCTCCACAGTTACTTTGCGAGACAGGACTAGAGTGACTCTCAAGGTGGTCCTAGTGGCATTAAGAAACAGAGAAGAGAAGCAACCCCAGAGAAGCAATTGGTACCTGAGGTGTTGCTGGAAGGGCATTCCCCTTCCAAACTGTAAACAATCCAATCTCTCTCCTCCTCCAGTCTCCCATACACTAAGAAGAATCTCCAATAAAGTTAAGTGTTATGCTGTTAATGTTTCATTCATCATTTCCCATTGTATTGTTTATGTACTACATGTATATTTCATGTAAAAAAAATTTTTTGTTTTAATACTTCTGGGTGTCAGGAACGGATTAATTGTATTTACATTATTTCTTATGGGGAAAATTGATTCGCAAATCGTAAATTTCGTTTATAGTAGCTCCTCCAGGAACGGATTAATTACGAAAAACGAGGGACCACTGTATGTTAACTTAAGCTTCATAGCTCCGATCTCCCACACATGCCTGCATTTTTTTTCCACTGCCACATGCCTGAGTTTTTTTCATTGCCACATGCCTGAGAAACCACACCACGGGCAGGGATAGAACCCACAATCAGAGAGTCTCAAAACTCCAGACCGTCGCGTTAGCCACTGGACCAGCTGATCCAGTGGCTAACTCGACGGTCTGGAGTTTTGAGACCCTCTGATCGTGGGTTCTATCCCGCCCATGGTATCGTTTGTTTGCAATCATGTCATTACGATTTCATGAGTCACATGCCTGTTTATATGTGGCACTTGTTCTTTTCTGCCATGCAATGCCTCATATAACAGGGTGATTAAAACAATGTTAACATTTACATGGGTTTATCATTAAATTGATAACAAAGTGATGTTCCTCAGAGTTGTAAAAGCAACGTTTAACTCATTCATAAATGTGAAGATATTGGTGGACAGCTAGTTGAGACTGCATGCATCACAAAAATGTTGAAATGGAAATAGAAAATTAAAATCCACTATAAATGTTAAAAAGTTTGCACCACTCTGCACATTCAAAATATATACTTATGAAGTAGATATCCCTACACAAGGTATACCTGCAGTGATTCACAAAGTTACCTTTTATCTTTATATTTTGTCTCATTGGATCAACATCAACTTTCAATAAGTGTGTTAGTTAATGAAGCCCAGATTCGTTACTTAGCTGAGTAGCTCCCTATTTGCTAATTTTTGTACCA